AATATACCAAGGCAGAATCCTGATGCTGCACTTTCAGCAGAGAGATGAGGGCTGCCTTGGCTGGTGCAAATATACCAAGGCGAATGCTCATGCCGCACAAGTTCAAGTAGTGCTTCGCTCCCACACTTCTTCCGGCCCTCAGTCTCTCAGGGAGATGCTTGACTTCCTCTTAGCCCCAAGACACTGGTTGGCCCATGAGATGAGAGAGAGAGAGAGAATGAGAGAGAAAGAGAGAGAATCAGAATGAGACAGAGAGAGAAAGAAACAAAGAACGAAAGAGAGAATGAGAGAGAGAGAGAATCAGAATGAGACAAAGAGAGAAAGAGAAAGAATGAAAGAGAAAGACAGAATGAAAGAGAATGAGAGAAAGAGACAGAGAGAATCAGAGAGAGAGAGTGAGAGAGAGAATGAGAGACAGAGAAAGAGACAAAGAATGAAAGAGAATCAAAGAATCAGAGAGAGAATGAGAGAGAGAGACAAAATGAAAGAGAATCAGAATGAGAGAATCAGAATGAGAGAGAGAAAGTGGGGGAGAGAGAAAGGGGGACAGAGAGAAAGAGAGAATGAGAGAGTGGGGGGGAGAGAGAAGGGGAGAGAGACAGAAAGAGAGAGTGGGAGAAAGAGAGAGAGAAAGAGAGTGGAGAAAGAATGAGAGAAAGAGTGGGAAGAGAGAGAAAGAGAAAGAAAGAGAGGGAGAGAGAGAGAGAAAGCGAAAATGAGAGAGAGAGAGAGAGAATGAGAGAGAAAGAGTGGGAGACACAGAGAGAGAGACAGAGAGGAGGGAGAGTGCCTGAAGGACCCCATCCCGTACTGGGAGTCCAGGTGCTTCAGCAAGCGGCGCACTGAATTCGTATTAGTGGGCCACAAAATTTAAAATTATGAAGTTGGTGGTCCCTGAGGTCCAAAAGGTTGGGGACCCCTGGCCTAAGACCATTGGAAAACACATATTTTTGATAGTTTTAGGAATAACTTTATCATTGGGGGTCACCACAACATGAGGAACTGTATTAAAGGGTCGCTGCATTAGGAAGGTTGAGAACCACTGCCTTAGCTGCTTGCCTTGCTTTGCTTGCCTTGCTTCGTTTGCCTGAATCCATTCCATCAGCAAGCAACTCCCTGCCTGCAATCAAGCAGGCAGGGAGTTGTGGACATCAATTCCCAGAATTCCTCAGCCAGCAAAACAAAGCTGGCTGAGGAATTCTGGGAGTTGAAGTCTACAAGTCTTAAAGTTGCCAAGGTTGGAGACCCCTGTTCTATTGGGTACGTTTTTTTCCCCTTTGGGATCTTTAAAAAAAATAGTTAATTGGGGGGGTTTTTTTAGTTCTTCTTTTTTAGACCTAGCCATTTAAAGTTCAGGAAGTTTTAAATTTAGCTTTCATATAAAAATAAAAATAAAATAAAATAATATTTGTGCAGCTTTCTGAGATTTAGTGTGTTTTTGTAGTGTTTCACTCTAACTCCACAAACACACAAAATCTCACAAAGCTGTATGTGGAATTTTGTGTGTGTAAAGTGTGAAAGTTGGGTTTTTGGGCTTTTTGTGGCTGTGTGAGGTTCCTGCTTGTTTCAGAGGCCATTTTGGGTCTAGCACAGCTGCTTTTACATTGTGAGTGAGCCAGTTGTGTTGTGTTGTGTTGTGTGTGTGTAAAGTGTGAAAGTTGGGTTTTGGGGGGCTTTTTGTGGCTGTGTGAGGTTCCTGCTTGTTTCAGGGGCTATTTTGGGTCTAGCACAGCTGCTTTTACATTGTGGGTGAGCCAGTTGATGTTTTTTTTAATTTTTATTTGGTGTGCGTTGGAAGAGGGGTAGTCTTATACGGTGAGTATAGCCCAAACCCTATATTTTAACAGGAAAATTCGGGGGTTATCTTATACGCCCAGTCGTCTTATACCCCAGAAAATACGGTACATGGTACCTCAGCACTTGTCGTTAATTGATTTTGGGAGAAGCTACAAGTACTAAAAACAAGTACCAAGCAAACCACGTAACTAAGGTTTGACTCTTTGTTTTGGCTGGAAAGGGTAGATTCATGAAGCAGACAAAAATGACAAATTCTACCTTGCATGTCGCATATCAAACAAATTATAACTACTGAGACACAATTTTCACATCAAAATATGTCAAGTACAAATCTGATGACTTTCAAAGCAGTTGAGTACCGAGGTACCACTGTACTTATCAAGTACAGTCAAGGGAGTCAAGATTTAAAATTCCAGTAAGCAGAAATTTACAATAAGATAATTGTTGTAATTGTTCTAAAATGGCAACTAAAATGTTTGCCTTAAAATAATGAAAACAAGGAGCAAAAAAATATAATTCAGTCTCTGCTTCACTCCAAGTGCTATTGGTCTTAGAATAATAAATTTAATCTATGCCAACTCCATGAAAAAGGAAAATGAAATAAGTTGCTTGACCCCCCCCATCCCATTTATTTATGTTCTATGCATTGTCTTGTGTGCAAAAAAAGACCCCCCCAACCTCCAACCCACCAAAAACTAAATAGTGAAGGAAAGCTGCAAAGTTGGCAAGCCATCTTTCATGCTGAAAGAAGTAAAATTCAAGAACCAATAGATATATCGAAGCAACAGGTCTTGCCAAAGAGAAATCCTCACAACCACAGCATTTGAAAAAAGAAGAGGAGTAGCTTTACTGTGGTTTTAAACACGTTGCAGTTCCAGAAATAAATCAGTTCAGCTCTGAAGCACAGCAGATATCATTGGATCACAAAGGTCCTAAAATGCTTTTGAATTTAGCTTTCCTTCCTAGAGAAGGAAGTTTCATAAAAACTTTGGTGGTCCCAACAAGATAACATTCAGTGGTGGGATTCAACCGGGGTAACAACCGGTTTGCTGAGCGCATGCAGTGCATTTGAAAACAACTGTAAAACTGACCTTCTACTGCAGCTGAGGCGCGGCAATCCACTCTGCTATGCCTATCAGCTGGGCTTCAAACAAAGGAAATATAGGTCAGTCTTTTTAAACAATTTTAATATTTTAATATTTTTAATATTCAAAGTTTAAATTTGTTTTAAATTGATTGGGGTTTTAATCTGTCTGGGCCAAACTATTTAATTCGATTTTATTTCTGCTTTTAAAATTTTGTATGTATGTATTTTATTGTTGGCTGTTCACTGCCCTGAGTCCTTTGGGAGTAGGGTGGTATATAAATCAAATAAAAGTAAAGTAAAAGTAAAAGGTATAGCGCAGGGGCGGTCGGACCCAGCTGATTGTCGGAGCGAACCAGTTCGCTGTCAGCTGATCGTCGGAGCTTCTGGTTCTCCCGAACCGGTCTGAACTGGCTGAATCCCACCCCTGACAACATTCCTATATATTAAAATTTCTCCAGCTTTAATCAGATAGTACATTGTTGCCTCCTTGCTCTAAATGTCCACAATCCTCTGGATGTGCTTCTGAAGTAATAGGCAGGGCTTCTAAATAAACCTGAGGAGAAATTTCTCAAGGGCTACCAAGTGCAAGCATATTATAATAGCTAAATCCTAGTCAAAGATTGGCAGGGGAAGCATCATAGAACTTTGTGCAGGGATGTACCCCTGTCTAAATTGAATCTATAAAACCTATAGGAAAGGGTAATCCCTCAGGGATCTTGGGAAGATTATTTTAATGAATTAGAGCTTCCATACATTTTCACTTAACTCCCCTTTATTATGTGCCCTTTGCTTTTTCTTCTTTTTTGTCTTTGATGCCTTTTTTTCTTGCCAAATGCCGCTTAACAGCAGGAAATGAACCTCCACAGTCTCGCACCCCAATTTCTAATATCTCTTTTTAGTCTCCTTTCTCTCTTTTGCCATAATTCACAATTCTTTTCCACGTAATTCTTTTCTATGTTTGCCTAATACATCTCAAGGAAACTGAACTCCCTGTTTCAATAGTCCCAGGAGCCTAAAATAACCAGGAGCTATGGACTAAACATCATTTAAACCTGCCATCCAAGCCATTTATTTGGATTAAGCCTTAATTCTGGAATACTTTTTTGTGTTCGTATTGTGTACTAATAGTGATTTTTTTTTTGCACTTAATTTAATTTCTATTTACTTTCTGTCTTGTGTTTTTAATTGGGCTTCTAGTCTCATTGATTAAATCTAGACTTCATAGTACTTTTAGTTATATACAAAGAAGCAGCTTTAATGGTTAGAGTGCGCTCTATCCATGTCAATAAAACCGTTTTAGGACTTGTTATATGTGTTATAACTCAATTTAATTCCCAATTCCCTTCCCCATTTCCTCCAAATTACCAATATACAGTCATTATTTAAAGGCCTGATCCTGGATGATCTTGGAAACTAAATAGGGTCAGCCCAAGTTAGTGGTTGGATGAGTGTTCTGGGAATGTCAAAACTGTTGACTTAATTAAGTAGTAAAGAAAACATTCTGAAATAATGTAAAACTGTCAAGAAAAGTGCATGAGTGCAGTTGTCTGGAGTCAAGCTTGACTCAAGGGTGTCTTTGATTTCAATAGATATCTATTAAGATATCTACCTTAGTTTAACTTTTGCAGTCTAACTTTTGAACCATATTCCTGACCATATCTAGTTATAATACAGCAATATGAAGCATCACTCACCCCAAATTAGAAAATAGTCATAGAGACAAAGAAAGCTGCACACTTTTTTTTTTATTAGCTGTTGGAAAGACTGGGAAATGACCAGACGTAATCCCAAAATAAACAACCATTACTTGAGCCACGGTGGTGCAGTGGTTAGAATTCAGTATTGTAGGCTAACTCACTGCTCACTCCAGAAGTTCAATTCTGACTGGCTCAAGGTTGACTCAGCTTTCCAGTCTTCTGAGGTTGATAAAATGAGGACCCAGATTGTTGGGGGCAATATGCTGATTCTGTAAACCGCTTAGAGAGAGCTGTGAAGCAGTATAGAAGTCTAAGTGTTATTGCTATTGCTGCTGATCTTCTTAATGGTTTTCCCACAACCCACCAACTTCTCCCTTATATTTTTTCTTATTGAGAGTTATTCCTGTTTTTCATTCCAGCTCCCTAATTTCATCAACACAACACTTCCTCCACATGAGCAGGTTACAGCTCAAGAGATTGACAGGTATTTCCGACAGGAACTGATCTACAAGAGGAATGAAAGAATGGGGAAAAGAGTGATGGATCTCTTAAGACAGAATACCGACAAGAGCTTCTTCTTTGCATTTGGAGCAGGTAGGACCTCAATATATTTTCTGTTGATTTCAACATGGGATGGGATAATTAATTTGATTTTCTGATTAGTTTAACTTTGTTATTTCTTTCCCATATCTTTACTCGTCCCTACCATTTACTCTATTCCCAAAATGTCTCAGTCCCAAATTTTTCAGGATTGGTAGTAATGCCAGTGGGATTGGGGATTAAAAAGAAGAGATGGTTCTTCTATTATTTTTTCCTTTGGTGATATGGGGTACTAAGGTAGTCATATCAACACCACAGTGCCTTTTTCAGTGCTACTGTTACTATAAACCTTGGATAGAATTTTTGTATGTGACAGGTAAGAATTCAGGGTTTTATCATATTCCCCCGGATTTAGTTGCTGGTTGCAACTATTATTATTAACTCTTAACTTAGTTAAGTTTTTATTTGTTTCATTTTTAAAAAAACAAATTAGATTGGATGAGCACTTGTGAAGCATTTAGCTCATTTACCTGCATAGTATTAAACTTGAAGAGATGGATTAGTCATCATCTCTGTGCCTTCATCAAGAGATAATGAGTCTGTCCTGTTAATGAATCAAGATTGTTAAGTTCTTGAAAAATTAATGACTGCATGTGTCACAAAACTATACAGAGGTTACAAATACTTTAAAAAAAGCAATTCCTGATAAACATTTAGCTAGACTCTACGACACTACTTCATATATTTAAAAAATGAAAGATACACATTTGGAGGCAAATTTAGCCAGTTATCTATTCTATATAATGTCCTGATATTTTTAAAAAATTATATTGTGTGTGGTGGAGATTTATTGTATGCCATGATGGCGAACCTATGGCACGCGTTTCAGAGGTGGCACACAGAGCCCTCTCTGCTGGCACGCGCACCATTGCCCAGGTCAGATCTCCATGGCGTTTCTTTCATGAGCTTCTGTTTCCCTGCAAACGACGAAACAGAAACTCACGAAAGAAAAAGTCTTACCTCTTGCTGTGCTGCTGGTGTTGGGATGCACTGCCTCCTGCCAGCCAGCTTGTCGAGTCCTGGTCTTTGGGTCTCTGCTGCGCATGCATGCATGTCCGTGCATACGTGCCTGCGTATGCACATGCACACTTTTCAGTTTGGGCATGCACGTGCACTTTGGGCACTCGGTGTCTAAAAGGTTCGCCATCACTGCTCTATGGTGATATGATGCAATGTACCGGTAGTGACAGTGGTAGGTTGCCCCCGGTTCGGACCGGTTCGCAAGAACCAGTAGTAAACCGGTGAGAGAGTCCGCCCACTGACCCAGACATCCTCATAGGTGATCTGTGCATGCACACGGGTGCAATGCGAACCCATAGTAAAGGTAAGTAGAACCCACCACTGGGTAGTGAGGATCTGGATGTCCAAGAGAGAGGGTTACATTCTAGAAGAGTAAGAGACAACTCAGCTAAGTTGTCTGGACAACTTAGCCCAGATATCATGTAAGAGAAAGAGGATGACGACAGCCCCTCCCTAATAGTTCACAGAATATACAGGTGGCCCTTGACTTATGAATACAATTGAGCCCAAAATTTCCGTCGTTAAATGAGATATTTTTAAGTGAATTTTGCTCCATTTTAAGACCTTTCTTGGCACAGTTGTTAAGCGAATCTGGCTTCCTCATTGATTTTGCTTGTCAAAAGGTTGCAAAAGGTGATCACATGAACTTGGGACACAGCGACAGTCATAAGTGCAAACCAGTTACCAAGCATCTGAATTTTGATCACATGATTATGGGGATGCTACAAAGGTCTTAAGTGTGAAAAATAGTCATAAGTCACTTTTTTCAGGGCCGTTGTAACTTTGAATGGTCACTAAATTAACTGTTGTAAGTGGAGGACTAGCTGTATTGTACATACAGATAGTAGAATCTTCAGTCTGGTTTTATCTATTGGTACAAACAATAAAGAACTCAGCTTGGAAGAACTGCTACGTGACCTTTTTGGTTTGGGGCTTCACCGGTTGTTTGTGTAGTCAGTAATATTACTTCCAAACATATCTTTCTTAGTTTCCACCATTCCCCATCTATAAGCAGGAAATTATTATTAACAAAAATAATACACTAATAATTCCAGGGGTGGGTTCTACTTACCTTTACTACCGGTTCGCAACGGGACCGCGCGCAGAAGCTTCCTGATGATGTCGGGGTCGGTGGGCTGAGCCTCCTGCTGGTTTTACTACCGGTTCTTATGAACTGGTCCAAACCGGGGACAACCCACCACTGAATAATTCTAAAGAGTATCTTTAAATGATATTACCAATGACTGACTTTTTGTCAATGCAATTACCTGGCTCTACACAGAGTCTGTAAGATGATTGTGTTCTACTTTAGAAGTAGGTGCCAGGCCATGAGGCTGCACTGCTGACACAAAATGGATTATAGAGTTGAATCATAAATTGGGTGAGGCCTCCATTCAAACAGATCTCCATGGAAACAAAAAGCTGGCCTACTATTGGCAAGCAACAGAGAAAGCATTAGACGATAGCTAATTTTCCTTTCCTGTAGGCAATGTGTGCTTCCCTTAGCATTTTAGGAGAGAAAGAATCAGCCATTAGTTGTAACGGTGTTTGTCGAAAAGCAGAATATTGCCTGCCTGAGAAGTAATTTCTTGCAGGCTTACAAAGGACTGTCTCATAAAAAGTACCCCATTAACGCAAAGTGGAATCAGATTTAAGTCTAGGAGTATGTCCTCTGCTAACTTTATTGTTGCTGAGCAGGGATTTGGAATGCCATGCTAGAGCAAGAATCCAAAATTTCACAGCTGGCAACTGCATTTCTACTGAAGTGAAGCAAAATGAACAATCTCAAATTTAGAATATTGACAGAAAATTGGACCAAAACAAAACAGTTCAGAAATTTTATTTAAGGAGACCTTACAATGAACTCCAACTAGCCTTCATTTTTATGGAGTGCAGTAATCAGGAGGAGCGGTAAGATAGAGAACATTTTGAAACAACTTCTGCATTGCATGTGGAATGCTGGCTAGTCCACAGTATGTATTCTGGCCTTGGTCCAATCCTGAAGTTTCCATTTTATTGTTCACCTCTCATAATACAGCATCTTTCTACTATAGGTACAAACCTTCTTCATGTATATCCACCTAGAGTATCAGGTTTCTATGAACGGCTCTACCCTGGGAGAATGAGATGATCACAAACACTTGCACCAAGTCTCCCTCCTCCCTCCCAAACTGAAAACAGATGCTGTTTATTGAGCAGCATCATTTCAATAAAGTGTGGAAAAGAAATCTGTGCAAAAAGTTTGTTCTTCTTTGGTCACAGCTAATGTAAGCCATGCAGCAAAGAAAACAAATGGTAATTCTATCATCTCTTTATTGCCAGGATATAGCATAAAAGACAAAAGAGGCCCCAGTAGTAACAGAGCCATTGATTTATTGGTTAAATAGGCCGACCATTGTTTATCACTGCAGATGTTTCATTTGTTGGTTAAAGACACAACAGCAATAATGTCATCACCTCGATCAGATAGGGAGTAAAGTATTTAAAAATTAACAGTTTTCAGAATGGGAGATCAATGAGTGGGACATAAATCTTAAAAAGACTAGTTCAGGGGTCTGCAACCTTAAACACTTAAAGAGCCATTTGGACCCATTTCCCACAGAAAAGAAAACACCGGGAGCCACAAAACCCTTCCCATGCCTGACTATTTCTTGAGCGGCCACAAAACTACCATATGTAGTTGAATTAAACATTCTGTTTTCTTCTGAAACTTTTCTTTTCTTGGATTTATCCATAGTTGGCCTACCAGGGGTTGAAAAGCTCAATAAATAGCGTGCAGGCAGATGTCACACATTGGCGGTTCTGACGCATATTTTGAGTGACAGGGAGCAAAGGGGTGAAAGAGCCACATGCTCTTTATCACTAAAATAGCAATAGCACTTAGATTTATATACCACCCCATAGTGCTTTACAGCATTCTCTGAGCAGTTTACAAAGTCAGCATAATCGACAATCATGGTCCTCATTTTACCAACCACATAAGGATGGAAAGCTGACTCAACCTTGACCTGGTCAGGATCAAACTCCTGGCAGTGAGCAGAATCAACCTGCAATATTGCATTCTAACCATTGTGCCACCGCAGCTCTTTTACCAAATTAGAATTATTTTTTGTCATTTGTTTGGATATGGTACTGGAGTTTAGAAGAAAAATATCCCTTTACAGTATTGTCTATATAGACACACTGGAAGAATTAAATTATCACAACAAATATTTATAATGTTAAAAAATATATATCAAAAATAAAGTACCAATGTGGTGATGCCATTTCTCACAAATATCTTATATCTTTTAAATACAACAATAGGCAGTATTAAACATTACAGGTAGTTTAGCCCAACGGTCCCCAACCCCCAGTCCGTTGAACCAGCACTGGTCCGTGGCATGCCAGAAACTACACCAAGAAGCCCAGTTTCTGGAATGCCGCAAACAAACAAACGAAACATGTATTTCACCAGGAAACGTAGATATGGCAGGCTCAAAAAGTATTCCCCCTCCTAACCTTACCCAAGGGCTCCAAATCCATTGGCAATGTACATTTTTCTTTCCAAAATCACAATGAACTAACCCTAACCCTATCCTTAAGTAACCCTAACCCTAAATGGATTTTCTGCCAATGGGATTTTCCCCTGTGTTTTGCCAGGAAACGTAGATAAAGCAGTCTTGAAAAATGCACCCTCCTAACCATACCCATGGGCTCTGAATCTATTGTGATGTCCATTTTGCTCGGCAAATTCATGGAGACCCAACCCCGAACCCTAATTGGTTTTTCTGCCAATGGGATTTCCCCATGAATTTACCCTGGAAACATAGATAAGCAAATTCATGCTTCCTGTGTTGGAACTCCTTGGACTTGTGAGAGCTCTATCGTATGGAATCCTGAAAATAATTTGAGCCTCTCTGTTGTTTAATTTAATTCAGTCAAATCTGTAGGATTGTCACACTGACCATCTTCTCATTTGAAGAAACCATTTT